GAGACGGAGTTTCACTCTTGTTAACCAGGCTGGAGTGCAATGGCGCAATCTCGGCTCACCGCAACCTCCGCCTCCTGGGTTCAGGCAATTCTCCTGCCTCAGCCTCCTGAGTAGCTGGGACTACAGGCACGCGCCACCATGTCCAGCTAATGTTTTGTAGTTTTAGTAGAGACGGGGTTTCACCATGTTGACCAGGATGGTCTCGATCTCTTGACCTTGTGATCCACCCGCCTCGGCCTCCCAAAGTGCTGGGATTACAGGCTTGAGCCACCGCGCCCGGCCTGAACAATAATTCTAAGGGACTAGAGGTGTAGAGAAAAGTGACCTGAAAAGTGAAACTTGAAGAATGCACATTAAAGAGGAAAGGAGAAACAGTTTAAAGTCACAGAAGGCCCCTCTTCATCTAGTTAACTTTTGCTTATCCTTCGAAATTTGCCTGGGTTCCAATAAAGCATTTATTATGATTATTATTTTGAGACAAGAGTCTCACTCTTGTTGCCCAGGCTGGAGTGCAGTGGCACAATCTCGGCTCATCACAACCTCTACCTCCCAGGTTCAAGCAATTCTCCTGCCTCAGCCTTTCAAGTAGTGAGTAGCTGGGATTGCAGGCATGTGCCACCATGCCCAGCTAATTTTGTATTTTTAGTAGAGACAGGGTTTCTTTATTTTGGTCAGGCTGGTCTCAAACTCCCAATCTCCAGTGATTTGCCCACCTCAGCCTCCCAAACTACTGGGATTACAGGCGTGAGCCACCAAGCCCGGCCCCCAACAAAGCGTTTTTAAGGAACCTTTCCCAGTCCACCACAAGCAGGCAGGTCTCCATTTGAAGTTCTTATAATATTCTGCATCTTAATTAAAATCACAATTATATTTAACTAGAGACTATTTTTCAATATGCATTTCTCCACTAGACTAAGCTCCATGTGGGAAGGATCTGTTGTATCTTATTCCCTGGCACCCTGAGTATTAGTTTAAATGCAATGTATAGATGAATGAAAGCCAAAGAGAGGCATCTGAAGAATGTGAAGTCGATATTAGATGTTACAGAAAGCTCAAGGAAAGGATTTAGAAAAAGGTGCTTAAATGTATTGATTAGGTTATAGTTCCTTGTGAAAGTGAAATCCAGATAACAAGGGGTTAAGAAGTGAGTGGCCAGCCACCAACCAAGCAAAGGCAGGAAAAGTAGACTACTCTTGTCAATCTCTAGAGATGGATTGTGAATGACTGAATTTTAATTTCAATGTTGCCCCAGTTTGCAGTTCTTTAATGACCATGTGTTACTTTTGTTACGAATAAGCTTTTTAAAATGTTAATAAGATTTGAAGAGGGAAAGCAGCAACAAGGCAGCTTGAAAGGGTGGCCGACCTAAGAAAAGATTTTTGTAAATTGAAGAAATCTTAAGCACATTTGTACTTTTAAGAGCCCAAATACAGCAGACAAAATAACTCACGCTCCACTAAGCAGGAAAATTAGAGGGAAAAAAACCCAAGGTTATAACTAATAAAAAAAAGACCAAAAAAAAAAGTTTCTCTCTGACGGAAGGAATTTAGAGAAGGAGCTCTCGCTAGGTACCTCAACCTCTTCGGTAAAGGGTGGGGAGAGGTGAAGAAAGTAGAAAAAGTTTAAACTGGGCTCCACGAAGAATGGAGGAAAAATTAAACAAGAACGGAGTCTGGTTCTACTAAAAACGCATTCTACATTTCAATCGGCCTTTCATACTCAACCCATTCCTAGATCAAAGAACTGCCCATATTTTAGCTTCAAGTTTAAAAATCTAAATAATTCTGGTTCACATTCTTTATTTCAACAACTGAAAACAATAAGACGCATTAAGTTACGCTCTAATTCAAAGCTTAATTCCTCTTACAAGTAAATACAATACTTTTCAACTCAAGGAACAAAATAGCGATCATTTCAAATACGAGTAACTGAAAAACGTTCCTAAACGCAAAAGCGTTTGCAAACAGGTTTTTTCCTTCCCCTAACTTGTTTGCCAGAATACGATGTTCCTGGGTTCAAATCCCAGCTCCCTCAGACAAGTTGACCTCTTTAAGTCTCAGTTTCTTCCTCTAAAACAATGAGGAATACAATAAACCAGAATTGTTATAAGGATTAAATGACGTAACACAGGTGCCAAGTTTATACTATGTACTCTGAACAGTCTGTTAACTGCTTAAGAGAGAAAACTTGCAGCAGTTAGACCAAACTCAAACATATGAGAGCATGAAAGAGTACCAGGCTCAAATGCCAGTCCCTAACACACAGCATATTATTTTTCTTCCCTGACGCAAGCTCATTTTTTTTTCCTTGCCAAATATTTCCACTAGGAGTCTGGAAGGAGAAAAAAGGGTCCATGCAACCCAGCAGAAAGTTTTCCGAAACTGAAGTGCGGAATCACCAAACCACGGAGCAGAGGCCGCGCAGGACAACAGGTGAAGCAGCTCCGGGAGCTGGGCGGCCGGGCCCGTTCCCCCGGGACTCGGGGGCGGGCCTGCCGCTCCTCCCGCTCGACCCCCGCCCGAAGCTCACTTTGTTCTACCCCGTTCCTCGCCACAGTGTCTGCAGCCAAATCACGAATATCAGCCTCGCCGCTCCGAGGCGGGGAGGTGAGCGCCTTTCCCATTTAAGGATTCCATAAGCGTCCCAGGAGCGGCTTTCCCCCACTCTGCCTCCCCAAACTCGGCCTGCAACCCGCGGGTGGGAGACAAAAGAGGGGCCGGCGGGGGGAAGCGGCGCGGGGAACGGTGGGTCTGTGGCTGGGCGGTCCCGGCCCAGCGCGCGCCGAGGCCTGCGGAGCTGGCGGGGCCGGGCTGGGCCGCCCCTGGCTCAGTCCTCCGCGCGCCCGGCGCCTCCGCAGCTTCGCCCGAGCCCCGCCGGCCTCCCCGCTGCGGCCGGCCCCTCCTGGCCCGCACTGCACTCCGGACTCACCCGGACCCCGGGGAACGCATCCTCCAGCCCTCGGCACGGAGCGGGTGGGCGCGGCGAGCCGCCGGGGCAAAGCGGGGCCCGGCTCGGCCTCCGCCCTCGGCTTGCAGCGGCCCCGGTCCGGCTGCCCCTCGATCCGGCTGTGCGATCTTCGCCTCGCGCGGACGGACGCGCCGAGCCCAAGCCTTCCTGCCCGCCCTTGGTCCTCCTCCCTACTCCCTCCTTAGCCAAGCCCGGCAGGCAGATTCCAATCTCTGCAGCCGCCGCCGCTACCGCCGACTCTCGCTAGGAGGGGAGGGGGCGGCGCGGGAGCGGGGGTTTGGGGGATGGGCGGGCGTCCGCGGGCCTCGCACGGCGCACTCGCACTGGGAGGGCGCCCGCCCGCGCCGCGCGCACCCGACTCCGGGCGCCGGCCCCGCCCCGCCCCGGACACGAAAGGAGCCGAGCTCGCGGCGGAAGCGCCCGAAGGGTCCACAGAGCCCGGCGCCCCGCTGCCGGGAAGACTGGCCCGCAGCCGGCAAGGGGGCGCCGGGCTGCTGGTGGTGCAGTGGAGGGGGGTCTTTCCTCCCTGCTGGCCCACCGGCCCCTCCCCACGAGCCAGCCCCACCGCCGCCGCCTGGGCCGGGTCCCGCGGACGCCGTTGAGCGCACGCGACGGAACGCTACGGAGGGGAGCGCGGACGCTCGCTCGGGCCATCAGGGCCCCCCGCTCTTGCGGGCTCCTTCGCGTGGACCCCTCCTCCGACCGACACTCACATTGCAGTGAGCGCCAGTGAGCTGGCGTGAAATAAGCAGGTCTCTGGGAAGGCACCAAGTCACCAAGGTGGGGGATGGCCAGGTCGTAGTAGTAGTTGCGACAAAGAAATTAAAAATGTAGTCACATTGCATTCGTTCCTCGCCCACCCACCGCTCCTGGCGGCTCTTCCCGGGCTCCTTGCCAGCATGCCGAGGCGCAGGCAGGGTGGTGGAGGCGCCCCGGCCCGGAGGATTTGCCGGGGAGAGGGGCTTTCCTCATCGATCCGGGAGCGCCATGCCCAGCGCACCCGGCCTCCTGCGATCGGCGAGCCCGCGAATTCCAGCGGCATAAGATAAGGAGCCGCGAGGGCCCAACTGGACTGAAGTCAGCCAGCTATAAATACGCCTCCAGCTCCACCGCGGGCTCAAGCTGGTGACCTCGTGTACCCTCCGGAGGCTCATGCCGTCCATTTGGAAAATGCAAATAATTGTCACCACCTCTTTTCTTCCATTTCCCCTCATTCATGATGGAAAATGCTTTTAAAAGTATTTAATGAACCGCAGGTAAAGAAAGAGGAGATAGGCTCCTTTTTCGCCACATGTGACCTTAACCTCCTTGGTAATCCAAGGAATGTATCCAGTTTAAGTCACTTAGCAAAAGATGTGCTTTCAAAAGTGCATTTTTTAAAATCACTTTTAAAACTGGGTAAAAAGAAAGGAGAAAGGAAAACAATGTGCCAGGCACTCACATTGGCACACATTCTCGCCTGAAGAGATGTTTAGATTCCAGGATATTCCCTTATAATCCGGTGTAGATGTTTGAATTCCCTTCTATTTTTATTTCGGTTTTTTGGTTTATCTTTTATTCTGTCTCCCTTTTCTTCTTTTACCAGCCTTTGTCTCTGCAGATAGCCTCTGTCATTCTGAATTATTTTTCAATTCTGTTTTCTTCTCTAATCTTTTTCTAGGCTTTTTAGCTGTCTCAGGTTTGATAGTCGTGGATTATAGTATCTTGCTATGCAGGAAGAATAGGATACGTAAGATTCCTTGCATCAACTGAAATTGGTCACTTTTCTTCCTCAAGCTTCCTTCTTAATACCCTGCTTTAGTCTGAAAGGAAAAGATGGGCTTTTTGCTCAAGGAGATTCAGATTGATTGGTCAAAGTTCTCATTGACGTATGCTGAGCGATGTGTTGGCAGAGAAAACCATGGCAAGCATGTTATTATGCTCTTTATGGCCTAGTTAGATTTTTAGACACATGAATCGGTCTATAAAATAGACAATCTCAGGTGGGAACCTTAGTATATTAAGTTTCTGAAATGTACAAATCAGTGTTGCCTGACTTGTGTTAATCTGCCACTGGAGAAATGAGAGGAAAAATTGAAGCATCAAATTTTAAGTCGTTATATCTTTGCTTCTCTACAAAAGACTCTCCTTTTCAAATCTTCAGGAATTTTACTTGATATCTTTTCACTCTCCTTTGATAAGGTCCAGCTAGTACCCAGGCTTCAATCCTTAGCACCCCAGCTACCAACAGCTGGCAGGGCATGCTGTTCTCCCTGGCTACTGGCATGTTTATGCATTCCAGCCTGTTTCTCCAGCCTGCCTACCCACTGAATGAACACAGCAGCCAGGAAGCCCAGGGAGACATCTGGACACGTGTGGTCTGGCCCCAAAACTCCAAGGCAATACCTCTGGGTCCACAGTTAACATTCTGTAATGTGGTATTCCTTTAAGTGGGTTACTAGGATAGGATGAAAATGGCCTTTTCCTCTGCTCCAGTAGCTCCCAAGAGTGGTAGTTGTTACGTGCCCAAAGCAGCATTCAGTAATTACGTTGTGCATTTAGTTATTTGCTTGTGGTCTGAGCCCCTCTGCCCCCCTAGAATATAAACTCCATGAACAAAAGACTGTCAATCTCTCTTTTTAGAGAAAGGTTCTCACTTTGTCACTCGGGCTGGAGTGCAGTGGCGTAGTCATAGTTCACTGTAACCTGGAAGTCCTGGGCTCACGTGATCCTCCCACCTCAAGCCTCCCAAGTAGCTGGCACTACAGGCCAGCTAGACTTCGTCTATCTGTTCTCAGCTCTCTCCTTAGAGCCTAGTGCCTGGCAAGTGAATAGTTGTTAAATGAGAGAAGCGAAGAAGAAGCGACTCCCACGCAGTCTTCAGAAATTCCTCTAAGCATTTTTGAACCTTGTCACCAAGACCCTTTTAGTGTTAGAGGGTGGCATGGCTATCTTGGAAAGGGTGAAGATTGGCTGGGAAAGCTGTGGATTACATCCTCTTCCGTGATATGGGGACTTCTGCCTTCAGGGATCGAAGTTGAATAGATTAATCCAAGTTAATCCATTCAAAGTCATTTTCCTATTGTAAAGACTTTATATGACAAAAGGTAGCATGAAGTCTCTGGGTCTGATGATAAGTTAGAGCCCAGTAAGGAGGAACTAGTGAAGGAATGCCATTGGTAAGGTGACACTTTAGGTTGATTTCAAACCCAATATTAAATGGGTACGTGTTAGGGAGAAAAAACAGCTCAATTTTTCAGCATGGATACTACTACATCATTTTATTGGTTAATAGTACCCCATCATGGCTTAGAAGGGCTAAACTAAAACAGAAACTGTGGTTAAGAATAAGATGCAGGTATATTATTCAGTGCACAAAATAGAGGAAGTTTAAAACCTGAATTCATTTTCATTGTGGCGGTACAGTGTTTTACTTCTTCTTTTACTTCTAAACAACTTACTCCTTCTCCCGTAACTCCGTTTTAATTTATCTTTGCCTCAAAACACTGGCTACTTACTATGATTGAAGGACAGATGATGAAGGATATTGCTGCCCTCACTTGGCTCTACCTAGTCCATGACCTCTGTATTCCTCCTTCCCCTGCTATCTATACACCCTTTACCATAGAACCTGATCTTTCCTGGGTCAGGAAGAATTCTCAGAGCTTCAGTCCCAAGCTCAAGACTCAGTCTCCCACTGCCTGGCTCCTTTCTAAGAACTGACAGCCCTTCTTTTGTGTCTGAAACCCTGACCTGTTACCTTGCCAGGACCTCGAATTTCTCTACTTGTTATTAGGATTCAGCTGCATCCCTGCACCCAGACTCTGCTGGGCAGTTGTAGGTATTCTTGGTGGCAGCACTTAACCTGAGTTCAGCTCTGTTTCTAGACTCTGTGTCTGTATTCTGCCTATCTGTTGGGCCTCCCTTCCCCCATTACCTCAGGCTGGGCGTCCTGATCCCCACTGCGCTCCTGGACTACCACCTGTTGTTTGCTCACTTCTCTCTGGCTGTCAGGTCCTGCTTAGAGGGTTGCAGCTCCTCCCACTGAGCCACCGGAGCTCCCATGCAGTCTACAGTAGATACTGGCCTTCCCTGTCCTGCTGCAGCTCACCGCCCTGCCTTTCCCTATCCTCACAGCACCTCGTTTATTGCACTTGGATTATTTTTTAACCAGATAAAAACTATATATAATATGTATGCTCTGGGCATGCTTTAATACATATTCTAAGTATGTATTAAAGCTATATTATATGTAGTTTTGGCCAGGCATAGTGGCTTATGCTAGTAATCCCAGCACTTCGGGAGGCCAGGCTGGGTGGATCATTTGAGATCAGGAGTTCAAAACCAGCCTGACCAACATGGTGAAACCCCATGTCTACTAAAAATACAAAAATTAGCTGGGTATGGCAGCAGGCGTCTATAGTCCCAGATACTTGGGAGGCTGAGGCAGAAAAATCGCTTGAATCTCCAAGGCAGAGGTTACAGTGAGCCGGGATCACGCCATTGCATTCCAGCCTGGACAACACAGCAAAACGGTATGCCAAAAAAAAAAAAAAAAAAAAAAAGGAGCTATGTATAGTTTTTTTCTGGCTAAAAATTAATCTAAGTGTAATAGGGGTATATGTATATATAATCTATTGAATATAATTCAAATAGATTTCTGATATTCTGAAATATATATATATGTGTGTACAGGTGTTTGTGGGGGTGTGTATATATATAGTGTGTACATATATAGATATATATGTGTGTGTACACACCCCATGTATACATTCAAAAATGAAGGACCCATGTCTGATTCTACTCACTATTCCTAAACTCTGATTCTACTTAAGAATTCCTAGCCGGGCACGGTGGCTCAAGCCTGTAATCCCAGCACTTTGGGAGGCCGAGGAGGGTGGATCACGAGGTCAAGAGATCGAGACCATCCTGGTCAATATGGTGAAACCCCGTCTCTACTAACGCTACAAAAAATTAGCTGGGCATGGTGGCACGTGCCTATAATCCCAGCTGCTCAGGAGGCTGAGGCAGGAGAATTGCCTGAACCCAGGAGGCGGAGGTTGCGGTGAGCCGAGATTGCGCCATTGCACTCCAGCCTCGGTAACAAGAGTGAAACTCCATCTCAAAAAAAAAAAAAAAATAAGAATTCCTTTGGAGCTAGTAGTCCAGAAATCCCAGCATGTGGAGCTGAATGCGATTACTTTGGGAATGACTAGTAAAAGGAAGGCAAGTTGTGATGATAAAAGATTCAAGCTGTAACTGGGGAGATAAAACCTGGATCAGGAGTGCAGATTCATTAACACCATACTGTGCCTACTGTCCATGGCTTACTTGGTTACTG